TGCCTGACTCCATCTTCCACCGGCCCATGAGCTTGGCAGGCAAAGGAAAGTGATTTATTCCTCCTGATAAATGGGAAAAAGTGGATGAAAAGATTAAATCATCTCTCCTTGCACTCACAGAAATGTGCTGCTGACCCCATGCTCTGGCAGGGTCAGGAGGAGTCAGCAATGAGGGGCTAGAAAGCTTCGCAGTGGGCGGGCAGTTTGCAGTCGGTAATTGAAGTGGAATGAGGAAATGCTCTGTGCCGTTGCTGGGACCCCGTCTGTCCAGAAGATTGTTGCCGGTCCCTTTAGTTTCCCTGCTGGGTGGGAGAGGGAGGCATCCTCAATTCTTAGTGACTTACTATTCAAACAAGGACCATTAAGCTAATAAAAAAGTCAAAAGGCTTCTGGTTACTGATATGATTCCCAGTTATGAATTGGGGTCATGGAAGTTTGCCAAAAAGTTAAGGGAAGGGCAGTAGCTAAGTGGTGGAGCACATGGCTTTGCATGCAAAAAGAATGCAGGTTCAATCTCCAAATAAGGAGCCCAACTAGACATGACACTATTCACACAATTAACAGCTGTGTGAATCCTCTGGACTGGGGTCAGGATTAGGAGCACAACAGGAGGCAAACAGTTAAGTTCCCCCATTTCTCCCCTCTGCTAAAGATAGAATGCAGACTGTGGAGGTGGGGAGCCCCCCCCATTTACTTTGGTGGGGTGGTATCCATGCAATTGGTGATTTCATGAATGGTGTCATATCTATGATGGGCCTTTGGACCCCTGTCTTAAACAGGAGTCTAGTGTAGACAGCACTAAGGTAGATAAACCAATGGATGTCATGGCTAAAAGTCCAATGTAGTAACCACCACATCATGCTTTGCTAGTTCAGTAATCTATTTTTGTCACCTGATACTAATAAAGTGGGAATTCAGCTATTGTGCTGCTGATCTTTAATCTATTTTGACTGTTCTTTGTGCTATGGCATGGGACTCTGAGGGTGTGGCTATAAGGGCCCCTGCATTTCATAAATTACCACTACAGCACTGGCTATTGGATCAATATGACTTTGGCCTGATCCAGCAGGGCTTTACTTAAATTCTTAACCTCCACCTGCAGACCATAACATGGTATTTGAATTGACCTGGCAAATAGTCTCAACTTTCTACAATGATGTGATAGAATTGATTCCCAGAAAAGGAAGAACCAATATCCAGAAAGAGGCTAGAGGTCATCTATACAGGGGCTATAGAGCATCTTGTAGCAAGTTGAAAAAGTTATTACTTAGCCCATCATAGAGCACAAGTATGCCATCTCTACGTGTGTTTACTGATTAACACTGGAAGTTTTACAAGCAGTCCCTGAAACTGTGAGGAAAAAGTGAAGCTGAAACAGGGAAATACAGTATAAAGGAGGATGTCTTTGTTCTGCGTGTTGTGCCAGATTCCCAGTAAAAAATTGAGTGACCAAAGTGTTGCTATTCCACCCAATAAATGCCCAGTTCATGGGGGGGGCCTTAATTCTTCTTTTGCTTTTCTTTTCCTTTTTTGGAACCCAACATTCTCAGTTTATTTGAAACGGTAATTCAATATGCACTTTCAAATGCTAAAGAACTGCTGTTTGGAGCAGGTCAGACCCTGAAATGTATTAGTGGTTCAGAGGTGTGTGTGGGTATGACTGGATTAACAGGGGATGTTGCAAAGCAGAATTGAGTGGGAGGGGGAAATAAGAGTACAGTAGCAACAGATGTGGCAGGAAATTACACAGAAACATTTGGCACACAATGCATGCAAGCACTGCTTTGTATTACTGCCTTATTCCTTATTGTATTACTACCTTGTTCCTTATGTCTCATTACTGTTAGCTTCCTTAACCTATTTCTGTACTTACTTGCTACCTAATTATTCAACAGCAGTTAAATTATTGTTAAACAGCTGCTGATTTATTTTTAAAAAATATTATTTTTTAGATTACCCTATAGCCCAATCAGGAGATTTTAGAAATGTGTCTATTTGCATTATACTTCATTGTAGTACAGTACATGTTATCACTTGAAATAGTATCAGAAGCTTATGGCTTTGCCTGTCAGAACATCTAGGTCTGTACCACAATCAGTACTACTTTAGGACTGAAAAAATGGAGCAAGTACTTTGTGAGGGAACCAAAACATTGGAAACAGACCAATAATACTTTGGTTCTCTAAATTTCTCATTTTAAAAAAATCTTAAATTCAGTTCTCTACATTTCTATACCAATTTGTGATTTGAAAATAACCCTCATTAAAATTCATCAGCATTTTAGTACAGATTTCTCCCCAAAAACACACCTTTGTACGCAGTTTTCACATTTTTGCAATCAATATCCCCATAGATAATGATTTCTTGTATCTTGTTATTCTGCTTCCGAGTTCCTCAAACTCAGAACTTGAACCATTGCCACAACAGGAAAATTTAAAAGCTCTATTGATTAAATCAGTACAGCATTCCAACATGGGTCTGCAGGTTACAAACAGCTAAAGCACAACTAAGCACTGTGATATATGTCCAGGCTTAGCTAAGACCCTGGTTCACCATTTGTCATGTGCCCTATACATGCCAGGCATAGAGTAGGACAGGCATAGATATTCACACAGGTTACATCAGGACTGGGCAAGCAAGTGGGTCCTCCTCCTCCATAGAAGAAGAAGAAGAGAAGAGTTTGGATTTGATATCCCGCCTTTCACTCCCTTTAAGGAGTCTCAAAGCGGCTAACATTCTCCTTTCCCTTCCTCCCCCACAACAAACACTCTGTGAGGTGAGTGGGGCTGAGAGACTTCAAGGAAGTGTGACTGGCCCAAGGTCACCCAGCAGCTGCAAGTGGAGGAGCGGAGACGCGAACCCGGTTCCCCAGATTAGCAGACTACCGCTCTTAACCACTACACCACACTGGCTCTCCATAGAGGCTGGGCAGGCATGGTTTGCTCATATTGGTGCTGTCGCCGCCACCGCCTTGGAGATGGAGATGTAGTCAGCTGAGCTGGAACACTGACAAGATTTATTCCCAGATGCCTTCTCTGAAGGGGAAGGCTCTTCAGTGATAGGGGGAGTGTCAGGGACTGGACAGACAAAGAGGAGTGGTGGAGACAGCCTTCCCAGCAGCCTTCCAGAGAGGAGGAAGTGGCAGATAGTATAGAGCTATAGGACTGGTTTGCCCCTGGGCATACCGAAGAAGGGGGAGGAGGAGGAGGAGGAAGTTGGGAAATAATGGGAGAGGAGGAGCAGGAACCAGATAGTATGGAACAGGCCAAGCCTGAGCAGCAGTTGAATGACACGCTGTCATTGGAGTCTCCCAGAACCCGTACCCTCCTCCAAAACCAGGCGTTCATTGTAGTTGTAAGCTGCCTTATAATGGATCAGACCATTGCTCTGTCTAGCTCAGTATTGCCTACAGTCTACACTGATGGGCTGTAGTTCTCCAGGGTCTACATAAAGTCTACTTTGACTACACTGTACATTTGACACATCTTGAATTTTCTCTCACATTAACAGCGTTCATATGTGACACACAGAAACATGAGAGATCAAATACACATTTTAGCATCACATATGAAATTCCCCACTGAATTTGCTAGAACTTTGTTGATGAACATATAGAAATATGGAAGTGGGCCTTGTAAGGTTTGCAGGCATTTTGCTCATACTGTACCTGCTGTCTGTGTGCCAGCTGATGTGCTTTCTAAAACTGCAGTGACCTTTTTGCCATTGCAAAGATATTAATTAGCTACTGCCTGAATACCTGTGCACACAATGGCGTCAGGGCTTTAAAAGCAAGCTTTTGTAGCCCTCTTAGTAACCTGTTGCCCAGATAACAGGTCCAGTGCGATCAGTCTGTCAGTTCCTCTGTGGCACAGTGACAGCACAGCCTGTGATTCAGGGGAACTCTACAATGTGTTGGGCTGCCATATACAAGGCTATGACACTTTAAATATAAATTAGCAAGCAGACTACAGCTCCCACCAGTACATTTGCCCTCCCCATCATTTCTGCTTAGATTAGACACACAAAAAATGTGTCAAGTGGATTTTTTTGAGGGGGAAACAAAGTTAAAGAATGCTAAGTAAACTTGAAGAAACTTCTGTTGCAACAACCAGACAAGACTTTGTAGTGAATTATTATATCCTCTGTTTTGTATAAAGCAGCTAAAAATAACATTTATTCTCCTGGTATGAAAGGCTTTTCATCAAAGGTTGTAGCGGTTATTTGCCACAGCTAAAATTTCCAGTTGAAAGTAGTCAGACTGCTGTTCCCTAGTTCTGCAACCCCTCATGGCTAGGAGTGGAGAGATATAACAGAGATATAACAGGTTAGGGATGGCAACCATGAAACCTCATTTACAGGGAAGAACTGACCAATGAGGTGGAAGCAATGGGAACCTTGGGAGGAAGCATAGGCACCAACTCCTAGGGGTTCGGCTCCCTTCACACCAGTGGCGGAGCGTGGGGGGTGCGGGGGGGGCCAGCCGCACCGGGCGCAACATCTGGGGTTAGGGCAAATCCACGGGTTAGGGGGCGCAAATCCACGGGTTAGGGGGCGCAAATCCACGGGTTAGGGGGCGCAAATTACTTGCCTTGCCACTGCTTCACACACACCCCAGTAAAATACCATTGCCATTAAAATGGTGTGCATGCATATGGGGCAGGGCTAACACCCCCCCCCCACACACACACCAGTATTTAATTCAAGTTGGCATCCCTGGGAGGAAGTGGCCTGCAAGCAGTAGGACTGTCCATTTTATTGTTTTTGCTTTCAGCATGTGTCAGGGGATGAGGACCTCTAGCCCAGAGATCAATTCACTGGCTTTGGATGAGTTATTTTGGCTTCTGGCTGGTGTACAACACTCCATCTTTGCCAGCTCCTGTACCTGCTTTGTTATGTTTGACTAAACAAGGACTATGCAGAATAATGAAACATAAAGGCTCAATGCTTTGTTTCTTGGTGAGGCACAACACTGAGCTGCAAAATTATTCCTCTCATTTCAGGGTGCTGACCTGAAGAAAGGGAATCCAAAAGGCCGTGTATTAACAGGTAAACAGAAACTGGACACCTCCTACCAATAGGTCTTGGCATTGAATGGAAAGCAGACTCTGGATTCTATTTTTGTGTAGGCGTTATGGATTCCCATTCATGTATGTGATCTTGGTTGCTTTTAAGTCAAATAAGGCCACAGCCCTTCTCAGTACAGGAAAATGAATCCCTAGGGCTTTGGATATTGTGACACAGCCACCAGGTCTCTAATCCCTTAAGAAGCAGTCGGGTGGTTTAAAAAATGTATTTCTTTAGTGCTCTTGCAGACTAGAAAGAAGAGAGCTCCCTGAAAGCAGATTAATAAATCCAAGGAACATAAGGATCCTGATTCACGAATGAAAAGAATCCAATGGAAACCCACAGAAGGAAGCATTTCACTACCTTGTCTTTTGTTCAGAATCCTTAAAAAAAATTCCAGACAACACAAGACACAAAACCCACAGCACCTCTCTGGATTCCACTTCTTTCCCTAGACTAGTTAATGATCTTAGACCTGGCACCTGTCCTTTTTCCAATCTGCAGCATAAGACACTTTTAAAATAATATTTTATTAAAATAGTTGGTTGCACTTTGGCCAATCAGGCATAAGTATACATACACTTATGCTAATACAGTGGTACCTGGGTTTAAAAACAGTCCGATTTAAGAACAATTCAGTTTACAAACTCCACAAAACCGGAAATAGTGTCCCGGTTTGAGAACTTCACCTCGGTCTAAAAATGGAATCCAAACAGTGGAAGGGCACCGGCGGCAGGAGGCCTCATTAGGGAAAGCGCACCTCAGTTTAAGAATGGTTTTGGTTTAAGAACAGACTTCTGGAACGGATTAAGTTCATTAATCGAAGTACCACTGTACAAATATCATAAAGCAAAAGTAAGCATCAAAGTAAGCACATACAGAATACATTATCATGGTAAACTGTTTCATTCTTTATAATAACAATGTAAGAATGCCATGGCACAGCCCCTATTGGAGGTGTTGTAATGCCACATTGCAATCCTGGATTTGCATGAAGACAGGCTGCCCAATAGCAGCAGCCATGGCATGGAAACGAGAAGTGTGGAACACTGAAAGGGGAACAGTGGTGGTTTAAAACAGGGGTCGGCAACCTAAGGCCCATGGGCCACAAGCAGCCCACGGGGGTTGTTTAACCAGCCCACAAGCCGCCCCCGAACCAAGCCACCTGCTTGACGAGTCCCCGTGCGCTGCGCTAAACTGGCGCAGCGCGGCATGGGAACTCGCTTCCGTGGTGCTGAAAATCACACATGCGCAGATGTCAAAAATCATGTCTGCGCAGACGCAGACACCAGAAATTTCGGGCGCACATGCTCAAGCACACACATACAATCCGGGCCACAGAGGGATCTCCACCGGAGTGAACCAGCCCAGGCAAGGTAAACCTTGCTGACCCCTGGTTTAAAACAAAGGCAGAAGTTTGAATAGAGCAAGGACAGAAGGAACTGAGAGGCAAATGGTGGTTTAAAACAACAGAGCTTTGAGTAAAGTGATATGGATAATTACAGGTGGATACAAATGACTTTCTCCAAGATGGGAACCACTTTGCCCCAGAATTTAAACATTTCCCAGAAACATTTTATTATGGAAGACTACCACCATCACTCACCGCTCTGTGTGCACATACACACCCTGCAAGCCCTTCCACTGCGACTGTGAGGACCACATGGAGTCTGAGATTAATGTGGCTGCCCCTCTAGAAAGTGTCATGTGCCTACCATACACACAGCTCCTCACCCAGGGTATTTTGTATTCCTCCTAAAAGTGATTGTTCTCTTTGCCTTTAAATCCTTCCTCTAACCTCCTATTCCATATGGTCTGAGGCTTATCCCCTTAATCCTTATTTCCAGCTGCAGCTAATGTGCTTTAAGTACATACAACAGCATTTATATCTGCATACCTTCCTAGTCTTGTTTTTCTCTTTGCTGTTTTCCCCAGTGTGTGTGTGTGTGTGTGTGTGTGTGTGTGTGTGTGTGCATAGCTATATATATCTTAGACTATTTGGTCCTTTGGAATCTGTTTTGCCTGCGTAACTCTGTAAGATGTCATACGTACTGATGGTGCTCTATACAGTAAGTCATTAATTAATCATTTATCTTTACCTGTTGATCCCACCCCATTCAAGCACCAAAGAAACAGAAGTGGCAAATACAGTATTAACAACGTTACCTCCTTCCAGTGCAGCAGTGCCACCACTAATCCTTAGACACTTTCCTTAAAATAAAAAAGTTGTTTGTAGGACTATGCACTAGGTAAAGGTAAAGGTACCCCTGCCCGTACGGGCCAGTCTTGACAGACTCTGGGGTTGTGCGCCCATCTCACTCAAGAGGCCGGGGGCCAGCGCTGTCTGCAGACACTTCCGGGTCACGTGGCCAGCGTGACAAGCTGCATCTGGCGAGCCAGCGCAGCACACGGAACGCCATTTACCTTCCCGCTGGTAAGCGGTCCCTATTTATCTACTTGCACTTTGACGTGCTTTCGAACTGCTAGGTTGGCAGGCGCTGGGACCGAGCAGCGGGAGCGCACCCCGCCGCGGGGATTCGAACCACCGACCTTTCGATTGGCCAGCCCTAGGCGCTGAGGCTTTTACCCACAGCGCCACCCGCGTCCAGGACTATGCACTACCTCCCCCCAAAAACACTGCAGCACACATCTTCTTCAAATGCTTTTTAAAAAAAATAATAAAATAAAACTGTCAATTGAACTTCTCTACTTCTGATTGCAAGAGAAATTGACCAAAAAAAGACACCAATAAGCAAGCTGAAGGCTCCAGTGACTCAATATATGATTGTTTGCAGGAGGATCATTAGAAAGGGGGATGAGGTTGGGATGTGCTGTGCATCATGATGCAGATATGCCCTTAGGCTGCTATTCTCCTGCACACATTTACCTGGAAGTTAGTCACATTGAACTCAATGAAACTTACTTCAGAGTAGACATGTATAGGTCTGCAGAATTCTCCCTGCCCTACCCATTGCAGTCTCAGGGCACTCCCTGAGGAGATCTCAGCTGAACAGCAAAGCTAAGGAATCCTTGTACACTCAGGCTGGACAGCAGATATTGATCTCTTCTCTATCTAGTACAACAAAATGAAGAGGTGGTAAAAAGTAGTGTGGATAAACCTTTCCATCAGAGATATATCTTGGGCTGGTAGTTGTACCCTCCCATTTCATCATCTCAGAGATGGTTTTTGTAAATTCAAATACTCTGTAGTGAGAAAACCATGGGTAACATATCTGCTCATATTATTTACTCTATGCCAGCAGTGACAGCCTGTACACTCTCAGCTCTAATCCCTGTTAATAGCAGCAGCAAATCATGCAGAACATTTGAAAAATGTGAACCGCCATTTATTTGAGCATTTGTATATGCAATGCTAACAATGGTTTGCACTTAATACAAGTGAAAACCTTACATTAGATAGAATGTTGATTACCTAGATTTTTCTTTCATAGACTTCTCTGCATCAACAATATAAGCACATGGCACAAATAGCTTGACCTTGCAGCATCTTCCAGCAGCTGGAGGATTTTCAGGATTGGGCCCAAGCAGGAGTCTTGTTGCCCAAAGAAGAAAAAAATGGAGAAAGAGCATCAGCTGTGAATTAAATATGTTTTCAATAAATGTGTTCAACCCTCTGAGATGCTGTTCAAGGAAGATTCCCACCCCCACCCCACAAAAAAAATCATTATACACTCTGGAGGAATTTTAGCCTCTCTGGTCCCTTCACATCACATCTTCTTTTCCTGAATCCAATCTGAAATGCCCTTCAAGCTAAGATTGGGGTTTTAAACAGGTAGCATCTGCATACATAATAGCTCTGCTTGGTATTAGGCTCTTTTTCATGACACGGGGGGAGTGGGGAGTTGTCAACTCACTAGGGAGGCACTGAAGGTTGACAGCAAGTGATATCCTGGCTCCATTTAAATCTGAGCTCTCCAGGAATCAAGTGTAGCTTCCACCTGCTGATATAGTACAACCCATGCACTAGACCAGGCATAGGCAAACTCGGCCCTCCAGATGTTTTGAGACTACAATTCCCACCATCCCTGACCACTGGTCTTGTTAGCTAGTGATCATGGGAGTTGTAGGCCAAAAACATCTGGAGGGCTGAGTTTGCCTATGCCTGCACTAGACTCAAACGTATGGAAGCCAAACAGTCTTTCTGCCCTCCTGAGACCACCAAGAAGCCCTCTTCTGATTGTTCACCCAGGTGGGCACTTAAACTGGACCTCTGAAGCAGATTGTAGGGTATGAGCAGAGGTGATCCTTTAAATATCCCATCCCAAATATCCCATTTAAGGCTTTCAAGATTACCACCAATATTTTCAGTTGGGCTTGGAAACACACGAGTAACCAGTGCAACCGGTATAATATAGGTGTGTTATGTTCTGCCTGCCTGGCACCAACCACTAATCAGGTGGTTGCAACCCAGTTTCCAAAACTATATTTAAAGGCAGACCCACACAGAGTGCACTCTAGCAGTCCAACATGGGGGGGGGGGTAGAATGTGACAGAAAGCGCCTAAAGAAAAACCTGAGGGAGAAATAGCTGCTTAGGGGAGGGGCTGCAGAATGTTGAACAACATGATAGATTGTGTGCATGGAGTACTGAGAAGCAGACAGTGACTGGAATGAGTCTAAATGATCCCTTTAGGAAAAGCTTTAAGGCTTGGATGTCATCCTTTGGGAGACAGGTTAAGGGAGGTAAAGAGAGGTGGGGTTTGGAGAGAGGAACTGATCTGAGCTCGAGTCGCTGGGAAAAGTAGGTAAGGTTAAAGGGAAGTTTTTCTAAAGGGAAAAAGGCAAGAGCACGCTTGTGAGCACATGGCAAGGAGCCAGGCACCAGAGGAGAGGAGGGAAGCGGGAAGGGTGGGAAAGGTGCTCAGAGCGCACCTATACACACCAGGTGCTCTTCAGGGAGATGTGAGGTTTACACCACAAATCCCCATCTGCTCTCTGAATCAGAACTGCCCATTTAAAAACCATAACAGGGTTGTAATGATGGCTAAATAGGGCCTCTCTGAATAGGAATCAGAGCTTTAGCTGGATAAAATAAAATAATCTAGTCCTAAAGTCTGGTGCAACATTGCAACACAAACAAATTGATATGGAGCAATATAGAGTTAAAAATACAGACACATGCCTGGGAGGGAAAGGGAAGAAAGAAGGATGTACTCACACATCAATCTTGGTATAGGAATGTGGGAAGCCAGCAATTTCCACTCCAACCTGTGTGCTTCACAATCAGTGCTGTCCCTGTTTAGCTGCAGTTCGGTTTCTTCAATCTACATTATTTGGCTCATTGTCCACTATTTAACATGAGTTATATAACTTAAATAATTATTTAACACACAACTTAGATTCATTTCAATGTAAAGGAAAGTCAAAACAATGTTTAAAAAGTAATTAAGTACATATCTTTTACAGACTTCAAACAACAGCAATGTGAGTGAATGTTGATCTTGTTCACTTGACTAACGTCCATTTCTAACCACAGAGTAACACATGAAAAGCAGCAATTTCCATTTCCTTTTACATTTTCAACAGAATTCTCCAGTATCCCTAGCTGAATAACAGGTGAACTTGACCAAGAAATCAAGGGAATTTGCAGATGGGAGGAGACTGGGTATATAGCTCCTGGAATAAGTAAATAAATAGGATGATTTAAAAGGGCAAGAAAAAACTTTGGCTGATTCCTATTACAAATAGGCCATATCTTGGATTGTCAAGGGGTGGGTTTCTGTTGTTAAGAGAATAAATACAATGCATCCTTCGAACATCATTGTTTTATACCTCATAGACTACCGAAGACCCACACCACCACCCAACAGTGGTTACCACCGCTACCAGTTCCTCCTCTATGAACAGCCAGGTGACGAAACTATATACCTGAACCCAGAGAAAAGTGCATCTTTAGGTAAGGGATTATGTCACTTTATTCCATAAGCAGAAAAGGCCCACATTTGTTCTTTTAGTACATTGCAAAAATAATGCATCAGTGTATTAATTTTCTCCAGTTTGTATCTCTGTCTCTGTTTTCAGCATGATAAAATGTAATTGCGAATATGTGGAGGTACTTTAGAATGTTTGTAGAGCTAATCAAAAATACCCTAGCAGCGGGCATGGTTGTGTACTATGTAAAGGATGCATTTCATGACCGCATGGGAACCAGCTTTTCCTGTTGTTATCACCAGTCTTAATTCTTTGAATTGACGAGGTAGGAATGACCATGAGATACTCTATGTATCATCTATCTATCTATCTATCTATCTATCTATCTATCTATCTATCTATCTATCTATCTATTTTTAATTTCTTTTATAAATAGCTTCCCATGAAACATCCCAAAGTGATTAGAAATAAAAACATCAATGATTCTCTCTCTGTGTGTGTAATTTCAAATCCGATACAGATATAGACTGCATTAAGAATCTGCACTTAAAAGGTTTGTTGAAAAAGGAAAGTTTTCAACAGGCATTGAAATGATAATTAAGACAGCACTTGTCTGCTATGTAATGGGATGAAGTTCTGAAGAGTAGGTGCTCTCACAGAAAAGTCCTGATTCCTATGTCATATGGAATGGCGTTACCCTATGGGTAAAAAGTAAAGGACCCCTGGACAGTTAAGTCCAGTCAAAGGCGACTATGGGGTTGCGGCACTCATCTCGCTTTCAGGCCGAGGGAGCCGGTGTTTGTCCACAAACATGTGGCCAGCATGACTAAACCACTTCTGGCGCACTGTGACAGAAGCCAGAGCACATGGAAACGTTGTTTACCTTCCTGCCTATTTATCTACTTGCACTTTGACGTGCTTTTGAACTGCTAGGCAGGCAGGAGCTGGGACCAAGCAACGGGAGCTCACCCGGTTGTGGGGATTCGAACCGCTGACCTTCTGATCGGCAAGCCCAAGAGGCTCAGTGTTTAGAGCACAGCACCACCTGCATCCCTTCCTACCCTATAAAAGGACTGTCACATAGAAGAAGGCAAATCCCTCAATACCAGTTTCTGGGATTTGAGAGTGGAAGATGACTTGCACTCAGGTCCTTACTGAGGGCTTCCCATAGGCATATCATTAGTTACTCCCTTGGGGCGGGGGGAGAGACCAGATCAAATGGTCTTAAGTTAGAGGAGGATAGATTTTGGTTGAATGTTAAGAGTAAGAGTACCTTGTAAATCGAATTGCTTAGAGGAGTGACCATGGGTTAATCTGTGTTGCCCGGTTTAGCTGCATCAAAGATAGCACGGACATGGGGCAAGAATCTTCTGTGTCACCTTGAGCTCCGTGGAAAAAGTCTGTATCTGTATCTACCTACCTACCTATTAATGTGTAATCATAAATGTCACAGACTGATCTCATCACTACAAGAACTGTTGCAACATTTTGACTATAGATCTATCCCAGTTAGAACTGGAAATGGCCGAGGAGGGAAAAACTGGCTACTTTTCAAAAAGAATCATCGTGATAATAATTATCTTGCTTTCAAGCCAGTTGATAGAACAGCACAGCAGAGGGCAAGGCTGCCCTTTTTCTCCTCCTCCAAAGCTCTTCTTAGAGTGAGAAATACTTGGAAATAAATTGCAGAGAATGATGTACTTTTGAAATGAGCATGACTATGATCTCCAGTGGGGAGACGTATGAACCTGGGAAAAGCAACAGGAAGCAACTCTAGTGTTGAAAGAGCAGGTCTTTCCTCAAGGATGGAGCTGCAATGCCAGGGGCAGGGGACCTCCTTTGCCGCATTTCCTCTTGGCCAGCCCTCTGGGGTTGCACAGTCTTTAAACAATGCTTATCAATAGCACCTCTGCTGACCTTCGTCACAGAAGGCCAAGACAAAAGTGCAAGTGGCTGGAGTGGATGTGGTCACTATTACAAATGGATGCATGCTAGGGGTGGGGAGAGATTTAGTTCAGTTCACATTGAAAGGTGAACCTAACTAATTCACACTTTCTAAAACAATATGCAAGTCAAATCACAGCTGTCTTCAAAATTTGCATTTCTCTGAATTTTGCACTGCAGTTCTCCACCCAAGCAATGTGTACAAAAATGCATGTACTAGGGTAAAACATGCATTAAATTGCATTTATTTATTCATTTTATTTCTTACATTTATGTACCGCCTTTCTCCCCAAAGAGCTCAAGGTGGTACACATGGTTCTTCCCTCCCCATTTACCCTCACAGCCACCTGGTGAGGTGGGTTGTTAGTGACATAGCATTCAAAAATTAGGGGAAATTGCATACAAAATTATGTACATTAGGAGAAATTAACACTAAAACACTCATAAATTGTTGTGAGAGCTTTTGTTTTCTAATGCAAACTGGTTGAAAATGTAGAGAGCTGAACAAGAGTGGGAAAATGAGAAACAAAATTTGACAGCTGTGCCCATCCCTACACACAGCAAACACACCTGTAACCTGCACAATCCTCAACTTTTTGCTGATCAGTGAGGGGGGAGACGAGAGCGATAATCAAAAATGGGTGTTTAAACTCCCCTCTTGGATTCCTCTTTCCACTCAGCTGACACAAGTGAGCCCAGGACAAAGAAGGAGCTGCTCCTTTGAGAACCACTGCTTCAAGGCATGCAGTACACCTTGAGGCAGTGGCTCCTCTCATCTTTTAGTCTTCCCAACAGGAAAAGTGAGGGAAGCCCCTGGGAACTGCTTCTTTAAGGTGGGAAGGTGATGGAAGGCTTCGTGAACTTGCTGCTTCAAGTGATAGCTGAAGAGGGATGGAGGCAGAGCGTTGTTAACAAGGCTTGGATTGCTCTGTCCCCTCTTCCCTTCAGGTAGTGCTTGAGTGGTGGTAGCTGAAAAAGGTGCTTTTGCAGGCCTATTTGGCTTGCTGCCAAGAAGGCTGGTGGGCCAGTGCAAGAGGCTTAGCAGGGCAGAGCCAAGCCATCAGTTTCCCCAACCCTCCTATAATGGAAGCAGAAGCACCCATTGTGAAACACTTTACCTGAGAAGCACAGAATGTCTGCGGCGTTGTTGTTTTGGTTCGGGTTTTTGTTTTTTTGTTTTTTTGTTTTTTGCACTAATTATCCAGCCATTGACAGGGTAAGTAATAGTAGCCAAGTTTAAGGTATTACTATTCATATATAAAGCCCTAGACTGCTTGGGGCCAGTTTACTTGAAGGGACGCTTTGCCCCATATATGCCTTCTTGTCCACTTTGAGGAGGGGTCTTCGAGGCTGTGAAACGGAGAACAAGACCTTGCTGGTACATCTAAGAGCTGCAGGAGTTTCATCAGTGACACCTCAGAGCTATTATGCATATCAAGCAATGAGATAAAATCTTGAATAATTAGATTTGGCAATTGAGGTTGCACAAACAGTCTTGAAACAATACTTATAAAATAACAGCTCTGCTGAGCGAGGCATGTCTTTGTCACACGGGGACAACTAGGCTCCTAGAGCAAAACACTGCATTCAGAATTTTTGCACAAGCAGAATTTCAGGAGGGAGATGAAAGGAATGGGGATGCCTCACCCATGGCGACGTTGCAGCACCCAAGAATCCTCAGCCATACATGAAATCCGTTTGTGGAGTCAGAGAAACAGCAGGTGCAAACTGTAAGAGGCATTAGTCACCTCTACAAGAGTCAAAGTCTGTGCAAGCTGCAAGAGCAACTTTCCAAACAAGGTTGCACTTCCCTCTCCACCTGTAAACCAAATGCTATTAGGTTACATCCTATTGTTTGCCTTAGCTAGACTGAAGAGTCCAGCAAGACAGTTCAGAGTGTTGGATATGATTGGTATTGCACTTCAAGACCCCCAGGCCCACCCCCCAGGAGAATAAAGAAACAAGGACACAGAATTTAGGTTAATGTTAATGGGCAAAATTTAGGCCACAACTTAATTGGTTACAGAATGTGAGCGGTATTGGCTTAGGCATTGGCATCAACAGACTATATCTGCCCATGTTGCAGGAAGTCTGGAAGTGTAAACCACCAGCAGGGGGAGCCCACTGATGCGGATCGACTCGAGCCCCCCCCCCCCGGGTTCCTGCTGGGGTCGTGGCATGGCCCTAGCCCCTCCCCAGGCTTCGGACAAGATCCACACCCCCGGATTCCTTTAACAGAGTACCCTTACACATGGAGGGGCAGGTGATGGCCGCACCTCCCCTCCCCCACACATCGCTATTCCAATGCCTAACCGCCAACCCTTGCAAAGTTGTGACGATTGCTACGAGGTAGGCAAAAACCAAGTGGCCAGTGCCAATTTGCCAAGTGGGAAAAGTCCTACCAGACCCCTCAACGGCAACCAACTGAAGTTTTAGGCCAGCGCCGCCGCCTAAAAAAGGGTGGTGCGAGGCTGAAAGAGGAGCTTCCAGAGTCACACCGTGGTTTAAATTGGCCCCGGCCACGCTCCCACAGCGCCCCGGTTGGTCGCCTGGCAAATGGCGTGGCTGAGACACCCTCAGCGGGACGCTACCCCACGCCACGCTAAGGCAGGGGTGGGACCTGGTGGCCCAAGCGCAACCTGGTCCCACTTGGAAGCGGAACTGATTTGTCAGATCACTTTTTTCGACCTGAAGTAGAATACTACCAGGACACTTCTGCCTCTGACTTTCGAATAATGGAGAAGAAATCTAAGGTGTCCTCTTCCTTACTTTATTCTGTGTTCCTTTTATGTACTCCTAAGGTGGTTTGGGCCTCTCAGCAAGTTTCCAACCCTGTTGGCCACTAGTGTTGCTATGATTGGTTAGAGCATCGTGCGGATAATGCCAAGGTTGCAGGTTCAATCCCTGTATGGGACAGCTGCATATTCCTGCATTGCAGGGGGTTCAACTAGATGATCCTCAGGGTCCCTTTCAACTCTATGATTCTATGAATTAGACCCTGGTTCATGGGCCCTTCTACACACAGCTGAGCATTTCTTTCTTTCTATGATTCTTCTCCAAGCTTTTGCACAGTGGCAGCAG